TTATGCTCCCACACTCCTAGATGCCTTTTGGGAAGGGGGCCACTCCTCACGTTATTCCTCTTTATTTTATTTAACATTTATTTATTTTTGAGACAGAGCACGAGCTGGGGAGGGGGAAGGGCAGAGAGAGAGGGAGACACAGAATCTGAAGCAGGCTCCAGAGCCTGATGCGGGACTCAAACCCACGGACCACGAGATCATGAACTGAGCCGAAGTCTGATGCTTAACCGACTGAGCCACCCAGGCGCCCCGCATTATTCCTCTTCAGTCTCTCCTCCCTAGTGTTGGTCTGTAGTTTCCCTTCAGTTGTCATCCAAATGGCCAATGCTGCCTCCTCTAGGAAGTCTTCCCTGATTGCCCTCCCTCCTGTCCTGAAAGGCTAGTTTGTTTTGTGAATGAGCATTTTAAATTCCTCACAGCTGTGCTCTCCTTAGGGTTCTGGTGAGGAAGGATCCTTTTTACAAAACAGATCCTCCCTTCACCGCTCTCCAGCTTTTGGAAAAACAGGTTTATGTTTATGAGTTGTAGGCATAGATCTCTGTCCAAAACCTATCGATGCAATATATGCTGAGAGAGCGACAGTTTTAGAGCCTGTAGAAGTTTTCTCCAGGTGCAGGATTTTAATAAACTCCTTTGATTGTGTAACTTTAACTTTTACTGGGAGTAATACCTATGCTTGTAGTAGGAAACCAGAAAATACAAGGAAACGTAAAGGAAAAAAGGCCACGCATCCCCTTCCTGCTGCGTCCACAGTTTATAGGCACCGTACTCCCTCCTGGTCTGTTTTTCAGATGCTCGAATATTTAAATACCTTTAGGATCCGGACTGGATGCTCCCTGCAGTCTGGTGGTTCCAGAATGGGCATTGTTGCAGTTCCTCTTTGAGCACAACTTGGAAATTTTTCTAGATGAATCCTAACTCCTCTGCTTCACTTTACTGATTGATTGATTGATTCATGCCTTTATCAGGCATTTACCTTATGCCAAGTACTGGGAATGCTGGTAGCTGGAGTTTTACCTTTTATGTATTTATTTATTTAAAATATTTATCTTGAGAGAGAGAGAGAGAGAACCTCAAGCCTGATGCAAGGTTCGAACTCATGAACCATGAGAGCATGACCTGAGCCAAAATCAAGAGTCAGATGCTTAACCGATTGAGCCACCCAGGCGCCCCTGGATTTTTACCTATTATTTAAAAGATAATTAAAAAAACACACTCCTCTAGTTTTTGAGAATGTGCTGTTGGATGCACGTTGCAGAAAACTCAAGCATGAGAATGCACAGTGAAAAAGAAGTCTTCTCACCCACCCCCCAACTGCCCTTGCCCTTGACCGAATGCCACCCCACCACGCTTTTCTTGTGGTACTTTCAGATTCATCTGTGTATACGTAAGTCCGCCTTCTTATGCTGGATGCTGTTCTGAACCCAGGTAACTGCACGCTGCATGCAGGGTTTTGCACCTTGCACTTTCATGTAGCGATAAAGCCCTTCTGGGTGCGTGGAGGACTCCTGCATTGTTTTTGCTCACTGCCTCGTATTTCTCTGACCACGTGTGGTTTGTTAATGGTGTTGGGGCGTGTAAGTTGCTGCCGGTCTTCTGCGGTCACAGCGTGGCAGTTAGCAGCCGCAGCCTGAAACACTGCACATTTGAGGACGTCTGTGGGGTGGGATGGCGGCGCTGAGGTGTTCAGGGGGAGCAGTTCATCACTTGACAATGAGTTCTCTGGTTGATCTTCCCCTCCGTCCTCCCCTTGAGTGTCCGGAACCAAATTCTGAACTTGCGGGATTTCAGGAGCCTGCTGTTTGGAAAATGAGGGCTGTTGGTACTTTTGTTTTGCAGAAGTTTCAGGAGGAGAAGCGAGCCCCAGTGGGCTTACGTTCTCCTTTCCCGAGTGGGCCGCAGTGGTATGCGTGGGGTCCTGCCACCACGGGCCATGTGGTTTTCTCCAGCCTCCTCACCTCCCCCTTACACAGAGGCCCTGCAGCACGGAGACCAGCGTGGTCTCAGTGCTTCCCATGCCAGCTCTGCTGGGCCTTCCGGGTACCGCCCGGGCGTGGGTGAGCCTGGCTGCAGAGTCAGTGCACGCACCTCCTGAGGTCGCCCAGCCTCCGCTTGCTCGTCTGAGTAATGGGTCATCACTGCCCCTCCCTGGTTGGGCTGCGGAAGCCGTGAGCGAGCAGAGAGCACCCGGTGCACCACAGCTGCCCTCGCCTTGAGGGTGTCTTGTGTCCGCTTGTGCCCTGATGTGGGCTGAAAGGGGAGCTGCGCCCCTTCCTTTCTCTTTTTTTATTTAAAAAATTTTTTATTAAAAAAATGTTTTTTAATGTTTTTATTTATTTCTGAGAGAGAGAAAGAGATACAGCATGAGCAGGTGAGGGTCGGAGAGAGAGGGAGACACAGAATCTGAAGCAGGCTCCAGGCTCTGAGCTGGCAGTCAGCACAGAGCCGGACGCGGGGCTCGAACCCACGAACCACGAGATCATGACCTGAACCGAAGTCAGATGCTTAACTGACTGAGCCCCCCAGGCACCCCGCGCCCCCTCCTTTCTGCCAGAGTCGGGATTTATCCTGTGCCTGGAGCTCTGAGCTGCAGAACAACTGGTCTGGTTCCTGACAGCTCAGCCACACTCCAGCTTTTCAGCCCGCCCATTCTCAGGCTTACTGTTTTGGTTTCCTTTATGCCATGGGTTTCTCGTGTTTTCAGAGTTAGCTCAAAGTCAGCGTCCTGTTTGTCTTTTAGGACTGGGGGAGGGAGAGCTGACTGGGCTGGTGTCAGATGTAGACGGATTGGAAATGACCCTCAGTTGGCTTCGTAAGGAGATGAGAGCCACACGCCGGGATAATCGGGCTGCCGTGAGGATTAACACAGGGAAAACCCAGGTCCAGGCTGCAGCCCAGCGGAAGCCCTTTCTACCTGGTGCGGGTCACGTACACTTGCGCCCTGGGTCTCCTTCAGGGCTGTCTGTCCTGCCTGAGGTGCGGCTCCAAGTCCTTTGGCACTTGCCAAGGGACTGCTCCCTTAGCTGCTTGGAATTTCTGTCCTGGGGCAGGGGCAAAGTGAGGAGTCGCGCCGAACCTTGCCTGGCTGGCCACAGTCCCGAGCCAAGTGCCCCGGGGCCGGTTCCAGTCACCGATGCGCAGGTGGGGCAGGACAGTTTGGGAACGAGGCCAAGGCTCTGCGGGATCCACAGGGCTCAGAGATGGTGTGGGTCATGGGCTCCCAGCAGGGCTGCTGCAAGCTCCTCATGGTGCCGTCTGCCCCCCTGCCGTGGGACGCTGGTGGCCCAGGGCTGTGGTCTTGTCCCAGCCTCCGCTCATGAAGTCCTGGCAGTATGTGGACATTGGCTGCCATTCCTTCTGGAACGCTAGAGAAGCTGTGTGATGGTAGCGACCCCTGAGAGCATCAACCGCTGTGGTTTTCACATTGGGTTCCTTGGGGCCCGAGGTTGTGCAGAGGTGTTGAGGGTTAAGAGGAAGGCTGGCTTGGCGTATCCTGTGGGGCCACCTGGTCTGCCCTCTGTGACTGACACAGTGGCTTCCTCTCGAGGTTCCACTTGGTGCCCAGCTCTCAGAAGGTGTCGGGAAACATTTGAATGAGCTAACCTACAAATGTAAGATCAATAGTGGCCACCTCAGCTATGCTGTGTGAGGGGAGGGTGACGGTGCCCATTCACTGGTGCCCAGAGACTTCCCAGGGGGCTTTGTGCCCACCTCCTCCCCTAGACTGTGAGCCCCTGGAGGGCCCGAGCGATGGCTGTTGCATTTATGGTGCCCCTGAGGCCGGGCCAGGCAGGGCATGGGGACCTGAGCGAAATGCTTATGTACTTAGATTTTGCGAGTGTCTGTGTGCCGGGCGGGCACCATACGTAGGCACAGGGCACACGTGGCCATTGAATCTGCCGTAGTTCCTGCTCTAATTTCTGACCTTTCCCGGTCACAGCATCCTCTGAGTGTCCCTGGGCAGCCTAGCCTTTCTTCTTAGGAAAACGCCCTCGGGCACGGCCATTGGCAAACCCTGCGCCTTCCCCTGCGTCCTGCCCCAGGCGAGGAGGGCTGGGGTGGTGGTAGCCCCAGGTCATGGGGGTGTTCTGGCTCTGGGGCGAGGGTGTCGTGGGTCAGGGAAGGCTTCCTGGGAGAGCTTCTGTTTGAGCCACATCCTGAAAGCTGGGCTGGAAGGTGTGGACCGAGGCCTGGAGAAGGGGCGCAGCCCTGTGCCCAAAGGAAGGTAGGGCAGGGGAGGTAAAGGCGGGTGCATTGCAGGGGGCCTTTGTGCATTCCTCAGAGCCCCCGATCCTGTGTGTAATGGGGTGGGGTGCTCTAGGGCACGGGTGTAGGAGAATCGTGGCCGTGGGATCGTGGGTGAGAGACGGAAGAGGCAGGGTCCAGGCTTGGGGGAATGTTGGCGAGGCCCACGATGGTGGAGTCAGGGTCAGAGGGTGTGGGTGGCAGTGGGGGCTAGAGATGGCCAGGATGGCACTGAGCTGAGCAGGGCCGAAGGGTTCTGGGAACTCCTACAGTGTGGGCGAGCAGTTGGGCTGAGCAGACCTGGGAGGCCAGGCCAGGGTGGTAGACCTGATATGGGAAGAAATGGGGGGCCATGGGAGGTGGTTGAGTCCAGGAGGGAAGGCCAGGCCATCGGTGGTAAATAAGGTGGAGGGAAGGGCGCTGGGCAGTTCCAGGCTGGAGCTGTGCCCATGAGGGGCTGGCCCTGAGGTTGGGGAGGGAGATGGCTGTGAGGAAAACCAGCAAACTTGGGGTCTTTGTAGAACTACAGCCAAGGCCCTCTGGGGAAACAACTCTCTCTGCCCAAAGGTGGCCTTGAGGACTGGCTAGGCGTTCGCAGACTTTCCCTCTGCAAACGAGGCTGTTCTGGGGATCATGTTTGAGAGGTCCAGGAGGTTCTCCCCACTCTCCTGCCGTCAGCTTGCTGTAGGGAATGTTCTGGAAGGATGCTTCCTGACTGCCTGAGTAACCTTTGTTTTCTTTGTTTCTCTCTGCAGGAAGCGAGGGATAGAAGTCGTGCAGGTGAGTACAGACCATGCTCTCTCTGTTCACGTGGGTGGGCCTTTTAGGGCCCCCTTCTCCCTCAAGAGTCTGGGTGCTTGAGGTGCTTCACTGGCACAGCATTTTTAAATGTGCCTCCTGTGGAATCTCCGTCATTTCTGCCCTGGCAGGACGTGGGTCGTGCTTGATGGTCTCGGGGGCTTGTGGAGTTGCAGTGGCTTTATCAGTGGAAGGGATGGGAGTCGGGGTACAGGGTGCGGGAGCTCAGCCACTCGGCCAGACATCCATGGTCCTGCTGCCCCCAAAGTTGGTCCATGTCTGCCCTCCATCTCTGCTGAGGGAGCACAGTCCCCCTGGGCGCCTGCCTTGTCTGTTCAGCCCTCTGAGGGGGAGTCTTCTATCTCAGACCATTCTTACGAGTGGTATCATCTCTAAGAGTACTCTTGCCCCCTCTCCTTTCCCCTGCCCCCTCCCCGGGTCACGTGCATCCCCATCCTGCTATCAGTTGGTGACACCCGATCTCTAGGGGCGTCTGGCTCCTGGAAGGTGGACCGAGTCTGTATGGAGGGGCTCCTGACCCTTGGGCTGCCTCGCTCTGGGGAGGACTTGATCAGGTGCTCATTGGCTGGAGAAAGAGGGGTGGATGGAGAGAGAACCCCTCCCAGGGCCCGGGGCCGGCTCTGTGGCTCCCAAATAGATGTACCTGCTCTGACAGTGGCCATTGGGGGTGGTTGGTGGGGTGGGGCTCGGTCTCTGCTGGAAGCCTTGGCCTCCCTCTGGTCTCCCTCCTTGTAGCAGGTTGAACTTGTCACCTGGAGGCTGAGGTTGGTTTTGGGGGAGGAGGTGGTTTCTGGAAGCCCCTCATCAGCTTGTCCTCCAGGCTCATTTTGGCCTGCAAAGTCGTGTGATCTGCACTAGGTTTCATGTGGACCTTGATTTCTTCTACATTAAAAGAGGGAAGTCGGAATTCAGGAATGGCTGAGAAATGTGCTTTCGGGGCCGCTTCTGATTGATTGGCAGTGGCTGCCTGGAGGTTCTAAATCTGTGAGTGATTGAGGGCAGGGGTTGATTGATAATGCCTGTCAGGGCTCCCACAGGGGGCAGAGGAAGTGCAGCTGTACATTGGTCACTCTGGGGCCAGGTGTCTCAGATCGGTCCTGCTCCAGGATGCTTTGGCTTATTTTGGTCTCGTAGTCCTTACCCATGGTTACCTTTGTAGATGCTGCTGTACCCACCATCAAGGCCTGGCCTATAGTTGGAGCTGTAGCTTCAGGTTGCTAAGAGAAGGTCCAGGTGCTTCGCTGAGGTTAACTATAGCGCTTGTCCGGGCTCACGGAGAAATTTCTACAGAGGAACAATATTTAGAGGAAGTGGATTCATGTGCTCACCAACAAACATGTTACTTAAAAGGGGAAGAAATGTGCCCCTCCCCCAGTACCTGATTCCCGTCCTGGAAGACCCCAGACTAACACAGTAGGATGCTACTACCCCACCGAGGGGGAAGGGAGAGGAGGGCAGAGGAGGGGAGAGAGACTTGGAATTTCAGGATGCGAGGAATAACCTGGGGGTCAGTGTGTTTGCTTTACATGGCTTCCTGGGAAGGTTTATGAAACCCTTTATTTATTTATAATTTTTAAAAAGGTTTTTAAAATTTATTTTGAGAGAGAGAGAGAGAGGGCATGTGTGATTGTGAGCAGGGGAGGGGCAGAGAGAGTGAGAGGGAGAGAGAATCCCAAGCAGGATCTGTGCTGGCAATGCAGAGCCTGATGCGGGGCTGGGACTCACAAACCGTGAGATCATGACCTGAGCCGAAGTCAAGAGTCAGACACTTAACTGACTGAGGCACCAAGGCGCCCTGAGACGAAAACCTTGGATCCATTGTTACGGGGTGTACCGGGCAGAAGAATTACGAAACCTTCCTTGATGTGGCTGCTCTTCCTTTTGGTGATGACTTCGGGGAGGAAGTGGTGACTGGGGACCAGAGAGAAGCCAAACTGGATGCTTTCCACGCCAGTATCTAAAAATAAAACCCAGTGCTGACGCCTCCCTGCTCACCTCCTCCTGGCATCCCCGCATGTTTAGAGAACTTGAAATTTTAAGATGTAGAGAAAGGCTCTGCAAAATTTGGAAGCGAAGACACTTGGCTGCTTTCTCGGAATCAGCCAGGCCTCTGTGCGCCAGATCCCTGGGCTGGTGGGCCGCTGGGCGCCGGGCAGGGTGGGCGCTCACCAGACGCGAGGTGTCAGCGACTGAAGGGGAGGAGGGAAAGCGTGCTGTCAGCCAACACCCAGTGTCTCTTGTGTCTGGTCCCCCAGTGGCAGTGCCCCTTTTTGTGCAGCTGCCCCATGACAGGAGTAGTGTGTTCGTGCCCATTGTAGAGAGGAGCCTCCATTGAGGCTCCGGATGTTGTGACCTCTCCCGGGGAGCTCAGCTGGTAAAGTGGAAGAGTTGGGTTTTGACTATGGGTTGGTTGTCTCCAGATCCCATGGTTTTTCTGTTTCTTTTGCACGTTAGGGGGCTGCTCCGTTGACTGTTTCCAGGCCCATTATCACCGGGGCTTTGACTACTGTTTAAAAAGGATATTGGGGTCCAGGGTCAGGAACCAGGATTGGAAAGTGCTGGGAAGATCCCGAGGTGTCTTCCCATCAGGGAAGTTATTTCTCTTCCTGGGATTTAACGGCAGTAGTAACAACGTGAGTGTTGGCATTTATCAGGGACTGTGGTGTACCGGGGCCCGACACCATTTACTTGGGAGAAGCACCTGTGGGAACCTCTCCAAGGTAGGATGGGAGCACGTTTAAGAAAACAAAATGCAGGGCGCCGGGGCGGCTCTGTCGGTTAAGCATCCGACTTCTGCTCAGGTCATGATCTCGTGGTCCGTGGGTTCGAGCCCCGCATGGGGCTCTGTGCGGACAGCTCAGGGCCTGGAGCCTGCTTCAGATTCTGTGTCTCCTGCTCTCTCTGCCCCTCTGCTGCTCACGCTGTCTCTTTCCTTCTCTCAAAAATAAACATTAAAATAAAAAAAAAAAAAAAAGCAAAACTTGCAGGTCCTCGGCTTCCTCACTTGCTCGTTCCCACACCACGTCCGCTTGGGAAGGGGCTCGTAAGCCCTCCTTCTGTCACTCGTTCCACCTTGGCCTCCTCCCACTTCTGTGGAGGCAGGGCGTGCAGCAGTCAGGACCAAGATCACCTGGGTCCGTGTTTCTGGCTGTGTGACCTTAGGCTAGGTGCCTAACCACTCGGAGCCTCAGTCTCCCTGTCTGTAAAGTGGGGATAATAGTTGTGCCTGTCTCCTGGGATCACCGGAGGCCTAACCGAGTTAATTTGATTAAGGCAGTTGGCACCGTGCCTAGCACCCGGGAAGCTTGTTATTTACATCGTCCTCGAGGCAGATACGATCCTGGGGGCATAAAACCCACCTAGGCCTTGTGGCCCATCCCGGTCACCCTGGGGCAGGTGAGCGTTCTCCAGGTCTCCTGCGATGACATTGAAAGAGGACCTAAATGAGTCATCAGCTGCTAGAACCTTAGAACTGATTTTTGATAACAAATCACTATAATTCTTGACATAAATTTAATTTTTTAATTTTTTAATTTTTTTAAATTTATTTCTGAGAGAGAGAGAGAGACAGTGTGAGCAGGGGAGGGTCAGAGAGAGAGGGAGACATAGAATCCGAAACAGGCTCCAGGCTCTGAGCTGGCTGTCAGCACAGAGCCCAACGTGGGGCTCGAACCCACGAACTGCAATATTATGACCTGAGCCGAAGTCGGAGGCTTAACCGACTGAGCCACCCAGGCGCCCCTCTTGGCATATGATTTTAAAGGAACTCAGAGAATTTGCTATGTAAATCTCTTCCCGTTCCATCTTTTTGTTTGAAGAAGGGTTGTTTTTTTAGCACTTGCATTGAAAAATTGAAAAATACAGCTGACGGTAAGCTCTGCCTTCATCTGTGGATGCATGAAATACTTTTGAAAAATTCCCATTCATCTCTTCTGAGTTGTGTTTCTAATAAGCGGTCATATTTTTCCTTGTACGATCTGTAAAGTTTCTGTCATGGGCGTCCGTTATGCACTGATAGTAATTGTAATAGGATTTCAGTCCAGAAGAAAATTTCTGACACGGAGAGCTTGATGGTCACATGAAATTACAAAAAATTTAAACATTTATATGCATATGGGTTTTTTTTTTTTTTATGGTCTAGTAGTGTAATAGACTACTCAGTTAAAGGCCTTTAAACAGAAAATTCATTCAAGGATGTGGGTTGGGAATTGGAGTTGGAGGAGTCAAAAGGCACTTTCCTAAATCTTCCAGTGTTTGGGGAGGCGCTAGATTCTGTAATTTTAGGATGGACGATGGTAGACCTCAAATCGCTCTGGTATTTAGATTCCATTGGATCCATTTAAAAGAGAAATAGGAACAGTTTTATTTTGCAATGTTAATATTTACAGTATGTTGGAAATGACATCCTCTCCAAGTATTTAAACTTACGATGAGAAATTGGAGACGTCAGCTTGAAAATGTACAAATAGATACGTAGCTGTAAACATTTACCCTGGAGGCTGTGGGTGGACGGCCAGGGCCTTAGCACATTACCTCACTGACTTCCCCGAACCCGGCTCAGGGGCAGGTATCATCTCGGAGGGGCCAGCGGCCTGGCTCCCAGGCCATCCGGATGCCGGGGCCTGTGTGTCCACGGAGACCCAGAAAGGCCTTGGCAGCGGACCTGTCTGCAGGCCGACTGGTGTCCCCTAACCTGGGTCTGTTAGGCCAGGTGGTGCTGTCATTAGGAAAATCTGCTGTCCATGACGAGGGCAGCCTTGTGTTTAATGTTGGGGCTCAGGCAGGAAGACAAGGGGAGAGTGGAGGGTGCCGTGGGACTGGGCGCCCTCCGCTTCTCTGCCCCGAGGGGCCGCCTGTATGATAATGATGGTCGCAGGTACCTGCTTGCCTCAGTTTCTTCTTCAGTGTTATTGTAATGAGGCTGCTGGAGACGCAGGCGCCCTGACTCCACCGTTTCGGGC